CAGATCTTACTTGGATCAATGCCCTATGATCACCGGGCTCAGGAGTTGTCGTCATGAGGATTTTCGAAGATTGATCGCGCTTGAAGAAAGCACAGAAAGACAACGAGTTTCATGTACGTCAGCACATTCGTTGATGAAAGCGAAGAAGCGAAAGCTTCACAGTCGCTTGTGGGGGCGGACCTGATAGGGGCTGATAGAAGAGAAAGCAAATTCGGGGAAAGCACAGCAGGTGATAAGAGATACTTATGCCCGTGGGCCAGCTCCTGGTGATCACGCTTAAGAGCGTAAGGATCAACGATCGTAATATATCTCAAGCTGAAATACGCAGCTTCATGAGGGAAGGACGCAGACACACAGCTAGCCATGACCCTCTTGGTGGAGATTGTATTCTGCGACGCTATCACCACAAGCCTGGCTGTGGCGGGTTTTCGCCGCCCGGATTTCAACTGAAGGAAGAGCAACATACAAGGGAGAAGGGGCTACGCTCCTGGAGCAAACCCCGGAGAGATGTTCCTCTTACTTGTTCTACGCTTGCGTATCCTGGAGCTCGGGAGTTACTATCCCCCATAGAAAACCAGTACAGCAAGATATGATATCTCTATGCCATGAACTTGGTCATTTCCTTGGTTCAGCACGGAAGTTCAAACTCAATGCTACTTTAGGTGACAGCACAGAATGTCAATTGTGCTGAGCAAAATAGCGACGAAGGAGCCGTTGATGGAGTTTGCCCGTTTCTCCACATAGTACCAATGGTCCATCTTTCAGCAGCTTCCCGTCCAATTTCAACATGTGACCGTTATAGCTGACCACGCACCTCCGTTCCCGCGTATGCCATTCACAGAGATGACCATGTACCTTGCCAGTTGGAGCTGGGGAAAAAATGATCTCTCCGCGAAGCATCGCTGGTTGAATAATCATCTCGTCGATCAACTTCGCTGGGAGAACAATTCCTTCTCCGAGACATGCCGTTGGGAAAAGCTCGAAGTATCGTTCCTCGTCGCCATCAATTCGAGCTAGGATGGCGCAGTACATCAATCTTTCCCGCAGCTCATCGAGCATTTCAATGATGCGCTCGTGTTCCTCGAAACGCCCCGAATTTCGACTGGCCCAGTGATACAATGCAAGAACGGCCGATTCCAGGGGCACCTGTGATTCATGAACAATCTGGTCATCCGACTTGAGGACCTCTTTGAATTCAACGAGCCACTTGCTATCGTGGATCTGGACCATTGGTGTCTCATTGCTCGAGTGGAAGATGAGGCTCAATGGTTGTTCCTCGGGGGGCATCTCAAAGGATGATAAGAGAGTTTGAATTGAGTGACGGAGCCCTTCGATTGACTTTTCTGAGTCTTTCATGACGTTTTCCTTCATTTCGAAATTTCGATCACGACGACTGAGCAGTTGATTATCGACAATGTCAGTTGCCTTCTGAAATAGGGTGGCGTTTTTGGATTACTCACCGAGAGCCACTGTATGAGAGTGTCTCAACTGCGGTCCTTTCTGGGAAGGTCTGCGCTTTTGTCGACGGGAGAGTGTAAGGTGGAGGGGAGAGATAAATAAGGACTGGAGAAAAGGAGAGTTGAGGGGCGCAGACACGTTGAGGTTTAAGAATATTGCTCTCAGGCAGTAACTGTTCTGTCTGGCCTGAATTACTACTTCAAGGATGACCAAGTGACCATCTAAGCTCCGTCCTACTGCCAACAAGACCCATAACCAACACTACTCTAAGCCTATTCTTAAGTTGATCTTGTGCCTTACGAATCTCCTAACTATGAGTCCTCGAGAGAGTGAGAAGACTCAGCATCGGCCAAGTAAGCATGTGAGTAGTGCTTGTGAGGGTTGTAGAAAGCGAAGAAGAAAGGTACATTGCTTGATTATCTAAATAAATGATCGTGACATTTAACGGTGAACTAGTGTGATAATGAAATCAAATGTGGTGAATGTAAAAAGGCAGGATGGGAGTGCGAGAGAGGAACAAAAGATTTGAGGAGAAAGGGTTCCCGTCAGAGACAGGCATCGTATGCAATATTACTGGGGAAGATCTTACAAGTATGTCAGGATAAGAACAGTCCCGAGTTCGTGAGTCTCATGAATGTCTTGAGCTCTGAACCCTCGTATGAGGATATTTGTAGGGAGCTCAACGAACCAGTCGTGAGGCCAAATGAAGAGTCTCCGAATGACTTTCAGCAAGCACAGACAATGTCGCCTTCCAACCAACCCAACTATAATGAGCACGGTTTCCAGACGCCCCTTCCGGACATGTACCCAACCACGGATGCAAGGACCATCAATCAGCAAAGGATCAGTATTGAGGCATTAACACTCTTGTCCATGGAGACTAGTGTTGTTGATCCTCGGCACCTGCAACCATATCCATTCTTCTCATAGTCTGAGAAGTGCAATAACTGGCTCATATTCACTCGGAGCGCAGGGAATGTCTACTGAGCGGGAAGCCCACCCACAGATCCCTTCACTGGTTGCTCTGGTCTACCTCGATTCAAAGGCGTTCGAGCGTTCGACCCGTAGGACAGCTGACTGAAAGCTTCATCACGAGGTTGCATCTCCAACCAGTCCACATTATCATTGGCTGGTTTGGCTGAGATAGATATGGTTGCTGCAGCTGCCATAGTGATGATGGTGGTGATGGTAGCGCCAAGTCTGTTTCTGGGAAATGAGGAAAGTGGATTTGAGCAAAGATCATATCTGCGTGGCATTGTTGAGAGTCGTGGGCTGGTCTTGCGTATTCTTGTCTTTCTGTCAAATAAGAGACGCATTTACAGCAATCACATATACCACCAAACATAGTGATTAAGCACGAGCTCACCTGAATGCTCGTTCATATTAGTGTTCCAGTCAAGTGCAGTCTTCCTCAGCACTGTTGAGTACCGACGGTGTTAGTCATTTTCTCACATCCCGGAGGGGAGGGGAGGGTTTCCTTTTCGAAGGATTACTTACCGAGAGCCACTGCATGAAAGGGCCTCAACTTCTGTCTCTTCTGAGGACGTTTGAGGATCCAGTGCCCATTCTCCTGAGGAAGGAGGACCCTCTTCTGCCTTCCTGTACTTCTCTATCGTGGCCCAAGGCTTGAGACAGTACCGTCCCATCCGATGATTTTCTTCATGCTCCTTCAGGCTTAACCCCAGATAAAACATTTTTATCCAAATATCATCTGTTGATTTCCGGCGTTCGACCTCGTTCCATATCATCGGCGTCCATTCCAATATAACAGAGCAGCAAGAAATGACGAACGCGTAGTCTAACGAGTGTATATGGCGCTCCTCGGTCGACACTATTGCGTCAGCTAGAGTGGCGCTCATCATTCCGTGTTGATGGCTTGCTTCTCGAAAGGTGTATAATGTCTTCTTCAAAAGTTCCTTAAGTAACTTCCTCAAACGATCCTGTTTTGCAGCGTCCATTATATCTTTCAATTCATCTTCGATCTGACACCGCTCGGGGGTAAACTGAGGGTCAAGATCTTTGCCTGCGGGCATGATGTAGATCTTCGATACTTTGGCAAAGTTGTGCGGTTTCGTGGAAGGGAGAATAGTAGTGTTTCGAAGCTGCAATGTTCAGAGCGAATAAGTGTAAGGTGCAGGAGAGCGTAGTACGGGAGGACAATAAGAGAGTTGGGTTGGGCAGGATGCCAGCCTTTGAAATATTGAAATGGTTCTTTGTTCGCTGAAGGGGATGCCTACACATAACTATAGAGCTATGGGAGGCCAAGGAATGAATCTCTGGTGGCTGGTATACAGCCTAGATGTTGATACAGGATGTAACGATTGGGGAATCCTTTGCTTATCAGGCAAATGAGCCTGAGGGTTGTGGAAAACTGAGAAAGAGGGTACATCGCTCGATCGTTGTATTGAATATGTAGCAATGCCTTAAGCTATACCTAATAAATCTTGTGTCAGCCATCGGTAATCGCGAAGCAAGTCATCTTCCGAAAAGGCTGACAGCAATGAGGAAAGCATTCAAATTGGGTATCTAGTTAGTCTGCTGCCTTTGGTGGGCTCGAAAGCCAGCCTGCGATGGCGTGCTAGTTCTTTCTCTACGCTCACGACAGCCACTGACGATCATCGAATACTATGAATTGAATGGAAAATTACTAGCTAAAGTCTGGCCGCAAGGGGAAAGCAAGATGATCAACGTCGAAGGAAGCGAATGATCAAGAGGCGCTTGTTCTCATCGATGAACCTCTCAAGACACACCATGCGTGCGATATTGCCCCCTTTCTGACCCAGTCCATCTGGAGGAACTCTCCAACACAGGGATAGATAGTAGCAGAAGACGGTGAAGATAGACAAGATTAGGGCGCTCCAGACTGCCTTCGAAAGGGGAGGCAACCAATGAAAGGATTCATGATGGAAGACAACCAAGTACCACTGTCATTATCTTCAAATTCGGACGTTTCCTCTGCGTAGGTGAGAGCTGGTGTTAAACCCGGGGGAGCTGATGGTTGTTGGTAGGCTGGTGGGTTGTCGTAACTCAACTTCAACGGAAAATGCTGAATAGCGTAGTCTTGAAATGCTTGAAGTTCTCGCCTGCTGACGGATTCCAAGGACAGTGATGGCGCCAACACACTCAGTGCAGGCGTACAATGAAAATGCTGTGCATAACACAAAGTTGCAATTTTGTACTGAGTAGATCCATCAGACCTGAGGCGGGACGGTAATTCCAGTTTGCGAACAACGTGTTCCCGGGGCTGAAAATGGCTCTGAATCACGTACCCAGCCACAAGGAGCAGCAAATTGCGGGTATGATTGACCGTTTTCTCGCCTTCAAGTTCGGCGTGCACCTGAGAAGAGTCGCTATGAAGTTCAGCGTGTAGCTGAGATATCAATTCCTCAGCCTCCAGTGACTCTGACCAGTCCTTCAGAAAGGAGGGAACTCCTTCACAAAGACTGAGCGCGACAATAGCTGCAATACGTTCCGAGAAATGGCTGTTATCCAAGCCTTCCAGTTCAGCTATCACATCATCGCGACGAGATGAGAAGCTTGTGAATAGTGATAAGCTAATGGGATAAGAGGACCCAGCTAGACATTGGTCGTCTGGGTCCAGAGAAAACTCAAAGGGTAGCCGGTCGAAGTCGTCGATAGATTCCACGTGCGTGTCGATGTCCAGCGTCGATAATTCATCATCTGTCAAGGAGTCCGGCATCGACACCTCAGTAGTCGTGGATTGCAAAGCCAAGGCCTGTGAGTCAGGCCTTGGACGTCCTGGATTGGCTGGGGGAGGGCCAAACTCGGTCATTTTGCAAAGGCGGCTGATGAAGCTGTTGGAGAAAGGGTAGAGAGATAAAGAGTGGGAGGCCGTCCTGGCGAGGGATATCTGAGAGATATATTTGATGTGCGCACGTTGACTTGAGGAAGACAGGATTCATGGCAAAACATGATGAGATGGAGACCCTTGTCTACCCCTTGACAAAAGCAATATAGTGCGCAATGCTGTCGAGAGGCATCAGCGTCACCTCAACACCTTGCTGGGCCCCAGATGAACGTCAAACTCTGCATGATGAGACGGTTCTGATCCGTGACCCTATCGGAGAACCAGGAATGGTGTGATGAACTACGCGCTGATGTCAAATGTGTTGTAACTCCTGGTGCGATCCTGGTTTGACTTTCCGATTCACAAACAAACAGGTCTAACAGGGTGCTAAGAGTAAGGGATGTTCGAGGCTAGGTAGCAGGAGCCTGGACGCAAGTTCTCGTTCAAACAGTCACTAGGAATGCTATGGTGACAAAGAAGAAACCCTATCAACCCCAAGAGGAGAACTAAAGACGCGCAAATATCCCATGAGTGGACTTCACAATGTCACCGAATATGTACCAAAGCTGCCCTGTCCGTCAATTCTGCCGACACCCCGTCAACGAAGAACAACCGCCAAAAGGCGGGAGTTCGCGTGTCAAACCTTCCTTTCGATACCTTCGAGGGTCTGCATCGACTGGTCGAGAGCTTGATCTAGCTCATTGACCCTCCCATTCATCGTGGCAAATGTTGTCGTGGAGTTAGCTCCGGAGTGCTCGTTGGACACGATCTGTTCGCGACTCGAGGATCTCCTCATAGGCAATTCATGGCCAACGTGGCCCAAGTAGAGGAGTCGTATCTTGAAGTATAGTGTCTTGAAAAGTTCGGTCTTGAAAAGCCCACCCAACGCCAAAAGGATATTGCTGATCAAGAGCTGAATCTTCATACGTGAGTAAATAAGCCATATCATGAAAATTCGACTTACTGCAAGCCACAATATCTCCCGCGGGCTGAATCTCTGAAGCCCGAAGGCGGCAAGATTCATGACCAGAGACATAATCGATTGATACAAATGGTAGGACAATACAACGCGGTTCTCGTCAGGCCCTGTAAGCCGCAATAGTTTCGCTACCCTGCCCATCGAATAAAGACAACAAAGTGAGATGGCGAGGGTGTAAAGAAGCAAGCTGGTGAATGCATTTTGTCTGTGTACGTGGTGTCATCAACACTATTCAATCAACGGAAGAGAAACACACACCTCAAGACAAGAGACGATACAAATAAACCAACCGCGGGGATGCTCGACAATATTGTCACATTTCGGACGACGATCCGATCATATAGTGACTTCCCTGGAGATTGAACCAGGCCGTATACCTCCCCAGCCTGCTGAAGCGGTTAGATGGTTGTCCAACGGAGCCGGGACAAAACTCACAAAGAGAAAATAATTGAAGAAAAGAGCCACGCGGGCCACAAGGTGAGGAATGGTAACAAGTTGCGGTGCTGCTCGGGGGATGACGATAAGGACAATTTCAAAAAGAATTTGGCAACAGCCATTCAGAAAACATAGAATACGGCTGATGTGTCTCAGTGACAACTTGGTCCAAGCTGTCTCAACAAACACTATGGTGAAGAATACACTGACCACGCTGCAAATCCACGCGGGATCTTTCATCGGAGCGGTCATGATGTTGAACTGCGGCTGAGCAAAGGACGAATGATTAGAACAGAGCAAGAAGGCAACCAGGCAACCAGGGTCATGCAGGAGAAGGGATCTTTATCTACTGAGTGAGTGGAAGCGGTCGCTCTGATATTGTGTCCAGGTTGAACTTCCGACTCCTTCTCACGGTTGACAGTCTTGAATGATGAACTGATCCGCTACGTAGGTGTGATTGGCTCATCAGTGAGGTTAGGAGGCACTGTCTGATTCAGTTGAAAGGGGGTGACCAGTGCCAAGGAAAAAGTACCAAATTCCGGAATTTGGTACTTTGTCCTTGGCACTGGTCAGAAGCCATTGTATGAGCCGAGATGAAAGTATCCTGACTTCTAACAGCGCCTCTGGGACTTGAACGGATTACTTCTACACTATGTCAATATGGGCAATCATCAGAGTAATGAAGTTAATCCAGAAATCTTGACATCACTCCGAGATCTTGGGAGCAAACTCCAGAATTACGACGATACTGAAACCAAAACGCTGGGGGACCTCGTATGCAATCTCACGAAGGCTCCTTCCACGCTTCTCGAAGCCCGTCCAAAACTTGTAAAATTATTCCAAGCGGAGTACGAAAGGCAAACAACAAATTCATTTGAGGATGTCAAAGCGTGGTTGGGAACGATAAAGCATAACAATCAAGCCCTCTCTCCACACGAAATCGATCTAATAGCGCCAATGCTACGAGCATGGAGACTGAACGAGGAACAAGCAACCTCGAGACTCCGGGACGCTTCCCAATGGATTAAAGACCCTTCCACTTTCTGGGGCGTTACACCGCAGACCAGTCTCAAGAGCAACATGGATGTCGTCCCGCATTGTCTGCGGTATGACGAAGACTATCTTCGAAGTGACGACACACTGCTAAGGCTACGCCGCCGAGTAGTAAGGGAGATCATCTGTCTGAGTACGACATATGAACAGGTCCGCGTCACGGGGTTTACGGGGGGTATAAAACTTGTCACGGAAGCGATTGCTGCCCACAAAAACATTGATACAAATAAGCGGAACGCGCTGTACCAGGAGGTGAAGAGATGCACAACGGCAGGACGTAGATGGCTTTTGCTAGGACATGGAGTCTCACTTGGAATTCATAAAAATGTGGTTGAGTAAGTAATATTTCCTTTTGGTTGGGATCCCATGATCATACTTATCAGTACCTAGCTTTGAGAGAAACCCTATAACCGAAGTTGAATTTGATGCTGCGCAACAGTACTGTAGGCAACTTGACTTATTCAAAGGCAATATCCTTTCAACTGCCTGGAACGCTATTGTCAATTGGTTTTTGCAGAGTGAGTAAAGAGCGCTATCATCTTGCCAGCAACACTAATGCTTCCTATAGGTTTATACAAAGAAATTGTCTGCGATGGCGTTTTGTTACGGCTCAAATGCGATTTGAGGCGCGAACTGAGGACCAATGAAGAGACCACTGAAAAGGAGACTACTGCAAAGAATGCCTCTGGAAAGCAGACTACTGAAAAGGAGACCGCTTCAAAGAAGGTCTCTGGAAAGATGACCACTGAAAAGGAGACCACTGAAAAGGAGACTACTGCAAAGAAGACCGCTAGAAAGAAGACCGCTGCAAACAAGACCGCTAGAAAGAAGACCGCTGCAAAAAAGACCGCTGGAAAGAAGACCGCTGGAAAGAAGACCGCTGGAAAGAAGCCCACAGCGATAGGAACAACGATTGCCTTAAGTGCTCACGACGAAAGCGACAACACTGGCATGTTTGACAATGTTTCCGAAATCCATCATACACAACCAAGTTGCCATGAACTCATCGATCGCCAGCCCAAGCGTCGCCGCCTTAATGGCGTAGAGCTCGTTGCATCGGGCAATTCGATGGATCTTAACAACTTCACGCAAAACGCAATCTCGGAGACATGTTCAAGGCGACACCAATCAAGTACAGGCGAGGGCTCTCCCTCGGATGCCAACTCGAACGCGGGCAACGTGACTCCAGAGGAGCAGATGGACGACGCCGGCGCGGAGGACATTGAAGAACTCAGACCCCTTGAATCAAGTGCGTTCGCCGGCTGCGAGGAACAAATTTCGGGGGATTATGCTGGCGTTCGAGATGAACTTGGGTCGACCGCTCAGGAGCTCATGGCGGATGAATCCTGTCCCGGAAACGACGTCCCTGGGATGCTGATGGACTTTGAACATGAATACGGAGGCTTGGACATATCTTTGTCTCGAAATAACAATCCAGGATCCTCCAATGTCTGTCCTGGTCAATTTGCAAACAACATAACGGGGGCATCTATCAACGACACTCTACCGGCACAACCGGTTGACTTCGATCCACCATCAGAAACCAGTTTTATGCTTCCTGTCGAAACTGACTATGGCACTATGATGGGCTTTGATTTCACTCCATTCGCAGATGCAGACACGAACTTCATGCATGCCTTAGATGAAGCGGACACATGGGAGCTGGGGTTTCCGAATTATGACTGAATACCAACGAAGCACAAGTTGGATCTACCTTATTCGAGCCTCGCCTTCCTTTCGTACCGAATGAGGACAATCGTCAGACCACCGGGCTTGGGGACGATCGCACCTTTCCCGTAAGCTGTGAGGATGTACCCTACTTGCGGGGCTTGACCTTCGTGGATCTCCTGGCGTTCTGATGATACCACAGCATTCTCCTTACTCACGGGCTTCCCCGATAATTGTTGTTGGGCTGGGCTTTGTCGATGAGTGTCGAGCGGCTTTGGGGCGTTTGTGGGCGGGTGTACATTTGTATCGATCGTGTCTTTGGTCAGCCCTTCGAGATCGGGCAGAACGATGGCGACTAGCGTTTCGGTCGGCTGCGCATTCAACGGTGTGAAGATACAAGCGTATTCTATGTACCGGCGCCATTCGATATTCACGCCATTTTCACGTTCTTGCTCGGCGATTGAGACGAACTACGTCCACCATTAGTAGTTTAAGCTTGACATAAGAATTGTAAACATACATCCACTTTGTTGTATGTTGCGACAACATTTCGCAGCTCGTGTGTGAAGAGCTCTTTACGATTCCTGAAGTCCAATATCAAGATATCGCTTCGTCCTTCAACTGGTACCATGTCAGATGCGTGTAGGTGGACGAGGCTTGCCGCATTTTGTAAGGCCTTCGAAGATTGAATGATTGACATCTTTGTCGCGATCGTTGAAAAACCTTGAGAGTGAGGTTTACAGAGGACGTGGCTAGCTTTTTATACTTCAATATACTGTCTCACCGCAATCTATGCATGTACTATGTTGTAGATAGGTAGGTAAATTCAGAATTTGATCGTTCGACCTCAAAATTCGATGATTGACTTGGGCAACCATGTGACGTGGATGACAACGATCGGCTTAAGGCATCTATGATCGGGAAACCTTCCCAACACAGACCACACAGTACCGAAGGCCAATAGCCTTGTATAGTCACGTGACTCCGTGTAATTGCGGTTGTAGCGGCGTGAAGAGAATTGATTGCCTAACTAAAAGTAAGGGAGCGACCTGCCGCTATATATACGTAAGAGCATTTAAGCCAATGTAGCAACCGGAAATAAGTAGTACCGAACCCGGCGCTAAAATCACATAATTGGGCGGACAGACTGCTTACTGGGTTTGACCCAAATCATCGTCAGTGACGAAGTAACTACGGGAGGGATTGCTGCCTTGAAGCCTACTGTACATTTTGAAATCGTAGGTATTCCGACTGACACAAGGAGAATGGACAGGAACTTCGATAAAGGAATGCATTCTCCCTGGAAACTAAACATTTGTACTGCTTCATCTGGATAGGACCATAAGATCTTGCCGGAGCACCAGCAATCATTGAGTGTTCCGGTAAGCATGTTCGACGATCAGAAGCACGCCCTGTTATTCGTAAGTGATGCTCTAGGGCGGAAGACCAGCACATTACCTATTATTTCTCCTTTCGTTTGGGAAACTTCATCGTATCGGCCGCTTCTGAATCTACTTTTTGCATAAAGCTTGTGTCACTTCGACCAGGAGTGGGAGATCTCGCTGCTCCATTTTGAGCTGCAGGGTTGTTGTTACCCGGAGAAGACGACGTAGACTCTTTGGGCACTTTGGCCGAATCATCTTTTGGTTTTTCCGGCATGGTGAGTCAAGAGTCCGGGTTGTTAAAAGTTGACAGCACGTTCTGGGAAGCAAAGTCCAGCAATGGAGAGAAGAGATGAGAAGGCCGGTCCGCAGGTGTTATCAAAGGTTTAAGGGTTAATCAACGTGGGGAGTTGGAGTTTCGATGTTCTGACAGATAATCGAAGTCTTGCGGTCGACTTGAAGAAGAAGCATTTTTATACCTCGAGACGGGCATCGGGGTCTCCAGGGAATCTTCCTTGTGGCGCTCATCATCGAACAGATAGGCGGACAACTCGGCTTCAGGGGTTCTGACCAACGACAGTCATGGCCTTCTACAATGTTGTCCGCATTCGCTAGCGAAGCTCGCTTCCTGCTCGAGGTTTCGGCTAGATTTGCGCGTCGATCAAAATTGCAGGTATCTCAGAACGACTAGCACAGACCCTTGTCGAAGACTATAGCTGCAAGACAATCGCAACCCGCTCGTCAAGCTGCAGGATTATGTCAAGAAGAGAGGTGGCAGACCAGTATGCGACCTATATTAACGGGTTACAGTGTCCTTGGGAGCGTACACTAAGACATTACCGTCTCGATAATTGGAGGCTCACCTTATTTCAAGGGTATACCTATTTTGACCCATGTTACCTGCTGTATGTACTTCTCAGATGTCTCAGGAGCTAATGCAGCTATTGATAAACTTCTTGTGCTGAGGACTTCCATGGAGAAATCTAGACAAGAGAATTATTGATACTATAGGTGCAACGGGAGGAGAGAAGACGCAACGAAAGGAGAGGAGGTGCAACGAGAGGAGAGGAGGCGCAACGAGAGGAGAGGATCTGCAACGAGAGGAGAGGAGGTGCAACGACAGGAGAGGAGGTGCAACGAGAGGAGAGGAGGCGCAACGAGAGGGAGATGCGGACAGTCTTCACCACGTGATTAGATAAAAACGTGAACAGAAAGCCAACACTCTGGCTTCACGACGTATGAGAGTCAGCGCTGCTTTAAGGCTCTGCAAAAGCGTGATATCTCTGCCCCTCCAAAATCCCCGTGACTTTTAGGCATCTGAAGAGCCCTTGAACATCAGTGTTCATTACACTCAGGATGTTTATGTCTTTGAAAACTCTCTGCGACAGTCCTATGACAGTCTCGCGACTTCATCGGGCTTTAAACTGGTTCATTTTCAATGCGCAGTAAGGCAAGTTAGCTATGTTCTACCATTGTACGCACTATGCTGATTTTGAGGGCAGCGCAGTCTTTCACACTAGGTAGCTAATTGCTGTCGAGCGTTGAACAAACTATCATCTCGAAAGCTGAGCTTTCACGGGCACCTTCTCTGTCACTATTTACTACCTTGATCGACGAAAGGGTGTCTTGGCCCTGAGAATATATCATAAAATGAATAAGAGGAGGTACCAGGCAGAGTTATCATCCGGCACAGAAGATGAGATCACAACCGCTTGGCAATCCAAGGTGCGTGAAAAGAGTTCCGAAAGGTTTTAGGGTCGGTATATGAACTAACACCATACGGTAGACTGGGAATCGATCTCTAAGGAGATTAAGTGGTTGGAAAACATTACAACAACAGGAACTTAGTCGCCTCAGACTTCCTTCAACCACTGAGTATGTGGTACTCAGCGGCCAACTTCTATTATACAAGGAAGAGCAATACTTGGACAGAATCGAGTCACCCCCTGGTAAAGTCGTCGTAATTACTTGGGACGACACGTACACAATATTTCCCATCGCGAGCCCACAAATATTCAGGATGAGCTCCTAACACGACTATCTACTCTATGTAGAGCCTCGATTTTCCTCTGGTTAAGGTTTGGATGATTTGAAGCGAGACAGGAATGGTGACAAAAGGCAACGTTGTCGTGGCATGTGGAATTGTGACATGTATCTCAGCTGCCGGAATTCGATGGATTTCACGAATAGCTATGAGAGCGTCTTCGGCCGAAAGCAAATAGCAGTCTGAATCAATACCTACGTGAATGGTTAGATGCGATGTTAGAATTGAAGGACGATACAAACCACTCTCTCGTGTTGGGATCAGCGATGAGTTAAGTGACCCATAGTTGACATATGATGACTGGATTCCAGATGATTCACTCTCAGTCGTAGACTGAAGGGTATGTTGAAGTGTCGGTTGTAACTCTTTGTCACTAATACCCTGCTGATCTATTTGAATCAATGTATCTCTCCATGTCAATATCTGAATGTTGCAGAAATGACCGGGGGCATCATACTTATCTCGAGGTGAGTATTTTCTACCGATTCCTCCACGCATCCCTCAGCATTCTGTATCTCAGATTGTTGTGAGGCTTACAAAGTTAGTTTAGCCGTCATCATTTCCTAGAATCCACAAACCTCTGGCAGATGGAAGAAGTGATTTATTTCGCGAAATCGCTGTCGCTATTGCATGAGGATGATCTTGGTTTTGCCACCACTGGCTAATTGACACAAGATAGGTCTTGGACTCTAACAGGCGGAGGTGTCGCTTGCCAATTGATAATGCACACAAGAGATAAACCTCTTCGTTGTAACTCCAGATATCTTGCACGAACACTTGAGCTCGACGCTTGGCAGTGTTCCGAGTTACCTTCGGCGAGTCAACTAGGCCGGTGTAATACTTGAGACTGGTCTGTTGTTCTAGCGTAAAGGCGAAAAGCCCTCGTGAAAAATTCTGTCGCTGCTCCTCAAGGCGATTAATAAGATCCTCATCATGTATCGGCATAGTAGACAGATAGTTGAATGCGAGAGATCATGAGGAGGAGCGAGGAGGAGTGAGGAGGAGCGAGGAGGAGCGAGGAGGAGCGAGGAGGAGCGAGGAGGAGCGAGGAGCAGCGAGGAGGAGTGAGGAGGAGCGAGAAGGAGCGAGGGGTTGCAACACCACGCGAGGATATGCGCATGATTGTGAGGAGACCCCTTGTCCTCTGCTGACGTGTAACCACGAGTTTCTAAGATGCCGTAATCAAAGAACAGCGTTTCACGTTCAACGCCTCCCCTCCCTGCCCGAACGGCCTAGCCTGTAGCCCGCTTTGATAGGCGGATTGTTGCTGCTGCCAACGCATGACTACAGCACAGTGTGCAACGGATTGGACAAAGACCGACTGCGACGAACGAAAGACTTCTTAGTTCTCGTGGCCGAGGGCAACTCAATGGGCTGCAATCACAACCCTGAAGCAGGCTAAGGCTCTATTGGTTACCGCAAAGAAGCGCATCCAAAAGATATCGCGAAAAGTATTTAATGCCATCCCGAATATGTACGCCTGCTGTGGTATTAGCTTGTGAAGCGACGATTTCTTCTCATAACATACTGAAAACTCAGGTTTCTGTTGCAAAATGTCTCTTCTCTTCGATCCTGACAATAAGCCCAGGCTGGTTTTAACGGCCTTGTGGAACGCAGCACACGAAAAGGGTGCGGGCGAACCAGAAGCTTTATCATTCTGGCAGCACTTACTTGCGAAGCATGAGTTCCAGGAAGACTACTTCATCATTGACGCCGAACTCAGACCTGAACCGGGAAGCCGTCGCCGCGTCGACCGTGGTATTCGGTATATGACCACAAACCACCAGCTCGTGGTGCTCACCTTTATCGAAGCGAAAGGCCTTGCCTCAGATGGTGCAAAAAAGGAAGCTGAGAGACAGGCTCTTCAGGACTGCAAGGACTATATCCGAAGCCATTCATGGCAGGATCAGATATATGCACTAACTATACTGAGGACAGCAGCAAAGGCATGGATATATAATTCGGAAGGATTTAATCCCTTGCATGATGATCACTATATTGAAGCGAATTCTAGTGAGGGCAAGCAACTCAGAAAAGCTTTTGAGAGAATGAAGTCGTTTCCCCCAGCGAAGATTGCTGGCGCTCCAGACCTCCATGTTGCAGCTCGACCAACCTTCCCACAGCCGACAACTTCCAGCACAAGCTACGCTAACCCCATTTTCCCACGAAATGAGACATCCAACGCTTACAGACAAACCACGACAACCGCGTATGGAAATCCGGTCTCCTTTGGGGCCCCAACACCTCAGGCCTATGGATATAGCCCTCATCAAGCAACTACAAGTGAAAGCGTAAAGCCCTGGGAAGGATTCTCACACGTTGTTGCAAAAAAAAACAAGACGCCGGGAAAAAATGGAATTCTTTATAAGGCACAAGGAGTTTGGGTCGAAGCCAATGACTGTCGGTCTGGTGAAGAGGACGGTAAAAGGGTGATCTACTCCAAAGAAAAGAGAATATGGGCATTTGTTGATGAAGTAAACAAGTATCGAGATAGGTGACAGGGTTAACTTCATCGAAGTATCCCAATTTGATCTCCATTCAATCCACACCACCACACCACCTTACCCTGAGCAGGAAGGTCATACCAGTCATCGATGCCATCTGCTACATCTGAACGTTTCTTGATTTCGACATACAGCAAATGCTTGATTGTTACGTTCCGGAAGACACAGTCTTCAATGTCCCAGCTCTTTGAGAGATACTTATCGAATCTAACCTGTCCGAGAGCGTCCCTTTTGCCATTAGGATATGTCAGCAACACACCTAAACAATGCTGCACACTATCGCTAAGCCTGCACACTTGAATCGTAGAATTTCGCTCGAGAGAAGCTTTACTGAAGCACCATCCTTCTTGTGGACTATCAACAGATGGGCATGGAAGCGATTCTCCGGGAGAGATGTTGAGACCCGATATTCGGGTGTAAACATTCGACGCTGATAATCCAAGGTCCGAAAAAGCGTGGACGGAATCGTTAGGGGAGGAATAGAATAGACCTTCGACGTAACCAGTGGAGAGGGGACGTAGGGCTTCGTACTCGAAATAGTCTTCGCGCTGCGGTTGCGGTCCGAAACAATAGTTTCGATTGAGGGAGGTGGTGATCTAAAGGCTTCAGTGACTTGTCCTTAAGAGAGAGCACAAGAGTCTACCTGAACAACGGGATGATTAGTCGGAAATCGCATTTGCGGTATTCGACGAACCGCTAAAGTGTGGACTTTTTCATCAGTTTCCAAAGGAAAGTACAAAAAGATCAGTTTCTTCTCCTCGTATCGTTTCTTGAGTTGCCTTGCGAATAATTCGAAAGACATCGTTGGTTGTCGCCCATGACAGAAGAGACCGACGGTTCTAGCGCCTAGAACAACACCAGTGAGACCCGAAATGTCCTGTGTATTATGGTATTCATATCGCTTTAGGCCAGAGGATGGGCGCCTGAAGAACCAGTAGGTATTCGGTCCAGGTACGAACGGTGTATCCCATTCGATCACATCACCAAAATAACTTTTAGGAACGAGAACCCTAAGAAAACGTCCCTAGAAAATGTAAGTTATGGGATGTCTAGATTGATGTACACTTACATCAGAGCAGGCGTGAAGTTTGACATCTTTCAAACCGGTGTTTCTCATATCGATGGTGTAGTAGTATGTTGATTTCTCTCTCGATCCGTCGAAGATAATTTCATTTCTGGTGCTATAAAGGTTGAGGATAGCAAAATGGTCGCGATGAATCAGCAACTGGTCTCGAATGTATAAACTTTTTGTCCGTTGTCGCGGCGGTCTTGTATGAACACCGGCTAGATACTGGCGACCCTCAAATTCGCTGAATGTCATATAAAGAGTCATTCCAGGTTTTAGAGGGTCGATGTCAGTCCAAGCAGGATCCGAAAACTTGCTGTACCGCCTCGCCGCCATCGCCGCGCACGTAAGAGAGACGAATTCTGGAACATCTTCAAGATGCCGGAAAATCTGGTTGATGACTTCATATGGAAGGACTTTGAATGGCCATATGAAGACTTCCAAAAACTTTTCCGTGAAAGGCTTCCATGCCTCCGGCTCTGGACGCTCCAGAGCCCGGGCAGATAACGCAAGTCTACAAAGATCTTCGAAGGAGATTTCGCGACTTTCAAGGAGCATAGGACAGTACTGCTTCAATACATCAGAGCACCGCGTATGAACAAAGGCTATTCCAGTGCCAATTCTATAGCACCTCGGACAAAATATATGGCCTTCATATGGTACAACTTCGGCAGGTTAGAACTGTAGAGCAAAGAACTTATATATCCGCACTTACTCGCATAATCATCAGATTCTCCAAATGAGCAGAACAGACAGATAGCTTCCCGTCTTGGGCAGTGACAGACTGTGGCACAAGCCATGAGAACCAGAGCATCGAAAAATTCATACCATCATTGTAGAAAACACGAGTGTCAAGTCATGAGATGTAGGACCCCTTTATTGTCCTAACTTCAGGAAGGTACGCCGAAAAGTTCATTCACGTGATATCGGGCTGCCGTCTTCTCCCGTTCTCAGGTCGCATGTGACAGCGAACCTAAACCGCTTGATTGGATGACAGCGTTATGCCTCAGGCTGCGCCCTTTCCTTGTGCCAGCGCGACCCGAAGGCTTCGACTCTTCAAGAGAGCGACATGACTCTGCACTGATTGACGAGAGCGCTCAGCTCTCTTCTGTGACATATGGTATCACCGGGTAAAAGAGGCCACGGACGTGCAGAGTCACGAACGGGCCAATTTGCATGGTAAGAGCCTCGGACGATATGAGCGGCAGAGCCACTGACCTTTGTGTAGACAAACGACACGCCGCGCAGAGCGACGACAGCGAACGTCCTCACAAGATTCGCCGCTTATCTGATCCTGACATCCCTCCCTCGAAGCTGTACAGTCAGCTTCCATCTCCGTCGGCCACAAAAACCGATGACGTGAGTGGACGCAATGAACGTCTCTCCGGGAACAAAGATGCCGACAAGCTGAGGCAGATACAACGCGAACCGTCTCCTGACAACTCTCTCGTACCAGAATGAAGGACAAGGCCGCCAGACAGGCACATCGAGTGCCCATCCGCGAAGAGAGTCCGCCCACCTTCAGCACCATCGGACAGCGGCGCATTTGTCGAGAAGTGGCTATCAAGCGTTCTAACTCGGGAGGAATTCGATATTCAATATAACATGAGTCTGCCACCCTCGAAACGATCTCGGTCCTCAGATTCGTTAAGTCGCCGACTTTCACAATCTGGTGACGGCACGGAATCCACGGTTTCAGCAGACAAGAAATACTCGGCCTACAAAGACGTGAACTACTCGGTGGTTTTGGAGACTAAAGGTAGTTTTATGCGGCTATCTGATGCTGGCCTCGTGAAGGAAGACCAGATATTGTGCGAGAAGCGCCTCTACACGCATCAACCGCGTCCCGATCATTCGTTATTTGATAACCGGTTCGACAAATTCCAGACTCTGATTCGAGGCCGATCCGAAACTCGAGTCTTCCTCGACCTGCATCCTCTCCTTATCCTATCGGTTGAAAACCTGTACATCAGTGGGCGAGAAGAATTTCACGGCCTGATTGAAGGTCAATGACCCCTGGGTCAAAGGGATTTCGTTCTATGGACCCCGACCGCAGCCGGACTGTACGTACGGATTCAAATGGTCCAACTTTACCGAAATTCAGCGCCGGAAGCTCGGCATCGAACCTTGGGAGAAGTCGTACTACACGGCGCGCGAGGACATTTATTTTCCCTTCCTGACCAGCGAGGTGAAGTGTGGAAAACAGGGCCTTGACTTGGCGGATTTTCGACTTTGGCCGAGGAACTTACAGAGGTCACGGACTCCATCCAATTGCGGCGAGGCCAAGGGCTTAAAGCGACCCTCAAGGATATCCCTAACAGAGGCTTGAGCTCAATGTCAAGGTCGTAATAACTGGAAGTTCCGGCTACATTGGCCAACACATTCTTTCGCAGTGTCTTTTGTCTCAACATTGTAATGTTAAAACGACTCCAGAAAAGAAAGAATTGAATCGTCCTCCCACTACTTCCGGTAACTGTCCTTCAGGAATACAGTATCTTGAGTGCGGACAAAGGCTTGACCAATAAGGCATGCATATCTGTGATGCGCTGTTAGTTTGCATCACAATTCATACACGAGATGTTCACCCTGAGCTCGCAGACCTATAGATCAATTCAACCATTGACTCACTATCCCCCTTTATGTCATTGAGATGATATCTTGTCTATGCTTTCACTGCCCGCCAAACTACAGTCCCTTCAGTGTTGCAACGCCAATTATAACATTACAAAGACGCAGGAAACTTACTAGTCTTCCATACATGCTAGGAAAACATCAGTCTTGAAACCAAGGGTGTTCTAGAAGTTTTGCAGCTGACGGTCTCTGTGACGGATCATACTGAAGTATGCTTCGGATAAGAGATGTGATCACGCTTGCTTCTGTCCCATCCATGTCCTCGGGCTTATTCTTCTCGAATAAGAGCTCCAGAGGCTCGTCGATATATGGTTCTTGCTGATAACCAGCATTCTGGCCGGCGTTCGGATCCAACCTCTCCCGATTAGGACCAAAATATTGGTTGGCGCGTGGCCACTTATGTTTGAGCCAGGCCTCCGGCAATGGTCCCAAGATATCGTTCATCTGCAACAGATGATCATCGTCACCACTCTCTTCTTCGTTCGGACCAAGCTTAGGAACACAAAACAGCGTGTCTCCGGTCAGAAATTCGTAAACAAGGCATCCGAAGCTCCAGATATCAATGCTTGAATTGACTACTCCTCCCAATATGAGTTCCGGAGCTCTGAGAGCGTCAGGTGTGACTACTGCTTTGGGAGGGGTTTGAGTCAAGAACGCTGCATAGATATTAGAACGATGACGTTGAATATCGGATTGAAAGACACCTTACCGGAACCAAAATCTGAGATCTTCCACAACATCCTGGAGTCGATAGGCGTATATCTTAGAAGTGATTGATCTAGATATAGGCGACGAGGAGCCCATATATCTTCGAGGCCATCAATTCGTTGAAGAGTGAGAGGCTTTGGGTAGTGATCCTGGCCTGACTGATCTTGCTTCAAGTCATCTTCACAGAGAGCATCGATTTCAGAAGTGGCTGGAAGTATATTTCCAGGCTGTAAATCCGCGTGAACGATGTCGTTCTTGTGCAGAAAGGCCAGTCCAATCAATGTATGCTTCAAAATAATTCTCGCCATATATTTTGGATAGCG